TGCTCTTTTACGGCGGTTGTTTATTCCCTGTAGCAGATTTGTTAATCGCTTGTAGGACTCCATTACTTGCGTTATTTCATCTCCTATTGTTTGTAGTCTGAATTTCTGAGCGGCTTTAGGTGCTAGTTGTTCACTTTTTTTTCCAAAATTGTCTGCATATCAATTTTAATTTGGGTCCTAGCGAGAGGTGGAATGATAAGTCTATTTTTTGTACGATTTCCCAGTTCGTGCTGGTTGTAGCCAACGGGGAAATCTTTTCCGCGATTAATCCTGAATTATTTTGTATTTGTCTAATCGACCACTGTAGCTGTTCTGGTACCTCCAATTGTGCCCTGCAATACATAAAGCTGTTAGCTATACATTGCGCACTACCAGCCCGCGCTTTAGTTTCTGTGGTAAATACTTGTCCTAACACTATTTATACCCCATCGATATTTGTTTATTTAAGTGTATTTTCGTATGTCCCTTATCCTTTCTTTCATATTTCCCCTTTATTCGGTCAGCGTTAAGCTGCGAGTGTGAATGTCTCCTTACATAGAAGGTATACGATAGCAAACGTATTTTTTTATTTATTTTTTTTCTTATTCGCTTTCCTTTTGTACTAATATTATTACCGATTTACTATTTTTGTTCATGTAAGTATTCATGTAATTTTTCCCGTGCGGTTTTCGCCCTATGACTTCCAACAACAAAAAAAAAAGGATACTTCCCATCATCCATTATCCATAGAAAAAAAATTCACCTGTGAGCGTGCTCTATGCGCGGCTCCTAATTACCCTTTTGAAGCCTAATATTTCGTACAGGCAATGACAATAGCAGAAGCACTATTTTTACTACACGAGAAGGTTGTATATCGCAGGTCAAGTCAGGAGTATAGCTCTACCTTTACATAACGTGGTGCTTATGCGCTGCTTAAAAGCTGTATGCTATGTGATGAAATATTGATTACATCATTTTAGTGCTGAAAACCAAGAACAAATAAGTGCTAGCTGATAACGATCATACAGAGCTGCCCGCATTCGTCATTTTTATAAAACTTTTGCAAAGAAGGAAGAAAAAAGAGAAGAGAAAGAAAAATTTCTTTTTTCCCGTTCTTCCGAGAAAACATATTGAATACTACTTTCTTCTCTCTCAAATAGCTACAGCTCGTAGTAATTACATAAATTACTAGCCTAGTTGTAATTCCCTTATGCGCGCTGTTCAACATCCATGCAAATGTGTTCGGAGGAAGTGTACGCGTGTGTTGACATTTATGGGTAAGATGAGCAGATTGTTGAATCTACTTCGCTCTGTCGTATCCTATGACGCTGTGTGTCATTCATAACAGAAAGGCGCATGTTGTGCTGCGGAATTGGTTTGTCTACCCCCTTCTCTTCTAAGTTTCTTTATCTTTTCTCGCCCTGGACCCGTCGAGTTGCGTTCTCTGGATTTCTCTTCAGTGCTCTTTGGTTCTTTTACTTTTCAAGTATTCGGTGTCCGTTGGTTTTGGCCCTTGCTTATTCCGTTCGATGCATTTTTTTCCCTTAAACGTTACTTCCCTTTTATTGTTTCTCTCTTTCGTATAATATCATGTCATCCCTTTTTTTAAACGCGTCTGGTTTTGTGAGCCGCTTCCGATACTTCGTAAGCTTGCCTCACGATAGTACACGCAATCCCGGGTTCGTGATTGGAGATGGCAGCATGTGCGCTGTCTTGGATAGCGCATCGATAGAGGAGGCGTCGCTATGCTGCGAATGCTCCCATGTAAGTACTGCTGAACGTTCTTTGTATTAATTAGTTCCCACGTGTAATCGTCTGTAAATACTTTGCCTTTCTTCTTTAGTCCATTGTGCTGTATATTTACCGGCGGGTGCCATCTATCGGTCGTCCCCGAGGTGCCCAACTTGTGGTCCTCGAGGGGCAGACGGCGATGGCATTAATTATCTGCCCAACTCACGGAGCAGTAGGTGTCCTACTAAATACGTCTACTTATTTATTTATCCCTTTTTTCCCTGATGTGTGCATCTCGTGATCTTCCTGGTTTTCGTATTACAGTTGGGGACGCGGTTGGTCGTCAACCCTTATGAGTTTTTCGGCCTCCCTCGTCCCCTTCATCAGCCTGGATGGCCGTCCGATGCCCTACCTCTGCCGGTGCAGAGGTATAAGTACCGTGGGGGCGTCGTGTGCTGCGACGTCTAATGCCCGTCCGGGCAGTCGTTTGTGGTGGTATTCCAGGACTGCCCCTGGGGTCCCCCTCTACCTTCTTCGGGCCGGGTCATCCGAATCCGGTGTGACGTCCTGGAGTCTGGGACGTCCTATGCCGTCACGTTGGGCTGTGTGTGCCATGGCACCTTTCTAGCCCTGGTGGTCGATGTGGTGGCAGAAGATCCCGGCGGAATCCCCTTGGAAGGGCGGCCCTGCATCCGCGTGAGTACTGGTTTTCTTTTTTTTTTTTTTTTTTTTTTTGGCTCACGTTGATTTTACTGTTTATTCTTGGATTTCCCTAGTTTTGTGTAGGTTCAGCCCGCTGACGGTGGGCTATTCGTTGTGAGTCAAGATGCTGCGGCGCCCCCTTTTTGCGCGAGCTACCGCGGTGTCCTCGGTGCCCGGCCGACTTTGCCCGAACTGGGCTACGCCCAACCTATGGCGGGAACGGCTCTTGGTGCCGCTCAAGCTTTTGCTTAAGGCTGTAAATGGCTGTATGGATCGTCGTCCCAGCTGCTGCTGTAAATCTGCATGAGGCTGCGATGCAGGTCCCATGTACTGGCTGTGTCTTCATGCTTGAAAATATTCTTCTGTAGATGATTACTTTCTAGGGTTGTGCATACCGAACACCTGGAAATCTTCACCTGGATAATCTTCTCAGTCCCATGCGCATGCTACCTTACTGACGGTCACAGTATTATCATCGATCATTGATTATCCATGGCCAGCAAATATACCTACTTTTGCTACAGCCTGTAGTGCTGCCTGCCTTTTGTCTCCACTGCTGATGGCGACTGTGTGGCCAGTATGGTCTGTTTTTGATTATATTATTAGTTTGTGCTGTCTGCTCCAGCGGCTGTCACAAATATCCTAGATGCCTATTAAATCCTGACCAACTAAGCTGAGATGCGTAGGTCTTCAAACTCTGTTTTCAAAACTCGTGTTTTCTTTATAAATGAGGATACAAATTTTTTGTATAGTTTAAACGAAATTTTACTTTTAAATTTTACTTAGTACACACATTGCTCCACAGAGAGATAGCTGACATATATTACTTAAGCGTGTTATTTATTGTTAGTATAGTACTTTTTTAATGTTTTATATTTGTACATGTCAGTAGCATTTGTCTCTTAAGACTAGATTGTTTCTATTATTTATTGCTCGAGACTGCCGTTCACAGGGCTTGCTTTTACATACGCATAAATATGCCGAAGTGTAAGAAATGTTTAAAAGCCGTTGCCACTCGTTCATGGAATTACCCTGCTGGGGCTACTGAATTTGACAGGGTAGAAACCGGTATGCTATCTGGCTGGCAAGATTTTAATGAAAACTAATGTCTTAAACAGCTGATGATGGTAATAAATGGTATTAGATCTCATAATAAAAGTCACTTTGACAAAATTGAAAAGCGCATCGATAACCTTGCCAGCCAGGTAGCTGGGCGAGATCAGCGCATTAATAGGCTTGAGTTAGAAAATGCGATGTTGCGTAACAAGTTCAAGAAATTAAAGTCTGCTTAAGCCCCTCTTATAACATCTAGTGTGGTAGCAAGTGCGACTCCCTCTGCGAATTTTAGACTAATGAGAGTGCCCTTCGAATCCAAATACTCTGCCTCCGACATTGTACGTACCCTGCTCACGGTTCTCAGTTTGTGACACCTACACTCTGATATCCTAGAGATCAAAGAAGAGAAAATCATGAGCTGGGGTGAAGGGAGAAATAGAACTGGGAGTAAGGAGAACGTTGAGTCTGCGATCAAACGGGTGGAGCCCCCAACCCACAGAAATTTCTGGGTATTGCTAAATCAACCCACACGTTAAACTTTATATTAAATGCAAAACGGTCTTATTGAGAATTAAATTTCATCACTCTTCTTCAAGACTCAGATTTTAGCTGGACTATCAGGCTCTACAAGATGCTGTCACGTGTGGCTTACAAACTTTCCGTAGAGTGAAAGGTATCGTGAAGAAAAGGGGAAATAAGTATGTCCGGTCGCATAAGGGTCAGATTTTCGTGCGAAAGGATGCCAGAGCAAGTGTATTGGAGGTGACCTCTGAGTTGGATCTATGTAGATTGAAATAACTATACGAGTGGATGTTGCCTGTTTCAAGAGTGTGCCTAGAAGTCATCTACGCGTTGCCCATATTAATGCTAATTCTGTTGGCCCACATATGGAGGTCGTTGGATGGTTCTTGCGCGAATGAAATATTAATGTTCTTTCCGTATCAGAATCTTAGCTCACACCAGTGTGGGACTGCTCTTTATATTCGATCACTTCATACGGATTGTATCGAAATGACTGAGGGTGATGTCGTACACTGGCAGGCGAGAGTATGTATAGCGTAGTGGCGTCGCATTCTACGTTTGTAATAATATTCGGTGTCGGATTGTTCAATCATCGAAGATTTCAAGAAACAATGAAACAGAGTTTATGCTCCTTGAACTAAACTCTGAAACACGTCATAAAGTCATGTTGGCATCGGTCAATTGGTGTTTAAAAGAAGAAGTTTTTTCAACTTTGTTTGAAGCACTCAGTAGATGCTGTGTGTACTATCTAAACTTGATGCCCACCGACGACCTCAATATTGATATGATATGTGCAAATTACTATTCGTTACATCTTCGTGGTCTCCTCACTGATTACTTGATGCAGTTGGATGGCATTCGGCCAACACATAATCGTGGTAATACACATACCTGGATTTATCATATTATAGTTGATTTCTTAGATAAAGTTCTTTCTTTGGTACAATCCGATGATCCATTTATAGGCGAGCACGACTATATTTACATCGACTATAAATTTAATGTTGCAGGTCCTACTCGGGTACAGGCGTGGTCACGTGATTTTCAGAACTTCTTGGCTGAGGCCTTTTCATCGGAACTTCGTGTGACAATGGAGCGTGTGACAGGTATATTGTACAGCGATGATAAAGAAGCGGCTCTCGGGAAAATTAAGAGAAATATCTATTGAACTTCTTAATAGTCATGCAAACTTCAGAGAACGTCGTCACCGCCGATCACCCGCCCTATAGTTCACTGACGAACTCAAAGACCGTTTTAAGCACCATGATCGGCTCTATAAGAGGGCTAGATGTACAGGTAGTGAGGATATTTTCAAAGAATATTGGATTGCTCGTAGAGATCTAAGGGTGGCCATGCACCAGGCTGGGCTTACTTCACCCTTAACCTGCCTGCTGGCTGAGTCTTTGGCAGATCACTACATGTGCGCACGAGCCTTGCTCTCTGGATGACCTAGAAAATATTGTTGCGGTAGGACGTGATTATAGTTTTTCTTGTCACCCTATTACCACAGCGGATGTGCTCTGGGCAATCATGTACTGTGAAGCCAAGACCAAGAGCTCAAGCAATGATGGTCTATCTTTGAGTTACTTTAAGGATATCACATCGATCATAGCCCCATTTTTAGTACATCTGTTCAACCTCTCGCTTATATCGAATAAATACCCGCACACTTGGAAGGTATCCACTACTGTGCCTTTGTCAAAGGTTAGAAACTCGATGGCCCTGACTGATACGCGCCCGATTGCAAACCTTACTCACTTCACAAAGGTATTTGATTGTTTGATAACGGACCAAATTTACACTTACTTGGAGGGTGCCTCGCTTTTGTCGCCTTATCAGTTGGGTTTTCGTAGAGGTTACAATACCCAGACGGAACTGTTAAAGGTGACTGATGATATTCACATGGTTATGAACAGGGGTATGCTCACAATATCGTTCTTTTTTGATTTTAAAAAAGTATTCGTCAAGATAGACCATTGCAAGCTTCTAAAATCGTTAGATGATATGGGTTTTTTCGGCAGATTCAATTAGGTTTTTGCATAGCTATCTGAGTGGGCGTTCTCAGGTGGTCGCGAATGGAAATGATGAGCCGCATTGGGTGACTTCTAGGGTTCCTCAAGAATCATCACCCGGCCTTATACTGCTTCTTATACTAATAAACTCGATCGTGTCATGCCTCTCATTTTCCCATGCTATGCTCTTCGCAGACGATCTGCAGATATAATATATCCGATGTGCTCTCCTACTAATTTGGCTATCACTATAGAAAGATTAAATGAGGATATAGCATTGATTGTTCATTGGGCAGACTGTCACGGGCTTTCTTTAAATCTGTTAAGGACCAAGGCGATCATATTTGGTCCAACGCAGCAACATATGCGCTTTGACCGATCACTTTTGTCCCCAATGTATGTATATTTATGTATAGGTTCGATTTATATATTATTTCCTACAAAACTGCGCCGGAACAAAGAAATTTGTTGATACTGCGAATAATTGTTAACTACATAATATTATACCGTTTGTAATTTATACCTTGTTAAAATTTGTTGCCATACGGTCAATCCAACCATGGCATAGTAAACTCATTTTCACTCACTCACTCTCTCTCTCTCTCTCTCTTTCTTCCATCCATCCTTATACACATGGCGAAACGAGTGATAAATGGCGGTACTCCCAATCGTTCATCTTGTGGTTTCTTGTACATCATGTTTCGTCTACAAATACACTACCTCTGTCTCTCTTTCTTTCACTCTCACTGTTCACGCTACTCTTTCTCTCTCTCTCTCACTCTCTCACCTTAGTTTTAGTCGAATGTTAGCGAGTTCCACCAAACACGATGGCGTCCAAGGTCCTCGAGCTGATCGTTCGCTTACGGTTTTGCTCATTCTCGCTCACTCTCTCTTACCCTCCTTTTCTTGTCCTAGCCATTTTTGTCGTCCTCGACTCAGAGATCTTGTTGTCCTTGGAGAACACAGCAGCTGCTATACTTGCGCGTATACTCGCGTCATCAAGCCATTGAGGGGGGGGGGGAGCCCATCTTTGGCTGGCGCCCTGCTTTAGCGGGTTTCCCCCAGGGTAGCATTATTTGCCCTCTTCTCTTCTCATTATTCATAAACGATCCTCCAGCTTCCCTCTCACACTCCAAACACATTATTTACGCCGATGACACGGAAATTCACCTCCATTGACCTCCAATACCTCCATTAACGAGGGCATTGCTCGATTGAACCGCGACCGTGAAGCCATTGCAGCTTGGGCTCATCAAAACGGTCTCCAGATAAACCCTCTTAAATTTAAGGCCATGATTCTCGGCAGCCTTGCCAACATCTTCTAACTGAACACACCATCTCTCATCCCCATTCATATACACGGTGTCTTGATCCCCATTGTGGAGAAGGCGACGAACTTGGGCGTCATTATTACCCCGACTCTCCAATGGACCCCACAGGTAAACAAAATCAACCAGCGAATACATCATACACTCCGCTCCCTCACATGACACAGGCATGCCTTATCTTGTGGCCTGCGAAACTCACTCATAGAAACCTTGATTTTTCCTCATCTGGAGTATGCGTCATCAGTCTTCTTTTGACTCAACGCAACCCGTGACTTAAAGATTCCAAGGGCCATTAATGCTTGCGTCCATTTTGTGGTCGGTGCCGCCCCAAACTTGGCTCATGTTACGCCCCTACGGTTGGACCTGGGTTGGCTCTCGGCTCGGCGTAGACGTGAGTACCATCTGTGGTGTCTTGCGTTCAACGTTATACATCATCAATGCCCTGTATATCTTGCCAACTGATTTCGCCTCGCACCCCAAACAACTTTAAACCCATGCGCCCTGCGCCGCCCACATCCCATACTCATAGTTCCCCTCTCTCATACCAGAGCGCGCGACGACGCCTTCTATATGCAAGCCTTGGACCTTTTCAACTCTCTTGCTCCTATCAACCTTACTGACTTCTCATACTCATTATTCAAAGCTATGCTCCACACCATTCTTCTACAACAAGATCAGAGTGAGGGTATAGGGCGGGTGGCCCTTCCAACTGACCTCCCAGCGATGCCAACGGCCAGGTGATGGAGTATCCATCAGATCATCCTCAGAACATCGTCATGTACCTCACCAACCGTCATTCTGAGCTAGCAATCACAACTCTGTCACGCATCATTTTTCAATCACGCTCACCCGCCCATCCCCCTTGCTACACGTTTGTTCCTACCACTTTTCACACATCTGCCTCACCAGCCTTCTTTAGCAATCATTCTCATTTTCATTCAGCCTTCTTATCGCTCTCAAATTGCATTAAATTAGCCGTCCCTTGTATTAATTACTTATTTTACATACATCTTTATTTTTTTTCTGTTTTGGATTTTTATTGAAGCGAAGCTTCTTATGGAGCGTTCTGGGGCTGGGAGTGAGCTGGCAAAAAGTGACAAATTTAAAACGACCGACATATTTTCCCCACTCCGCTTAGTACCGCAATAGCGGAACGTGTGTATACACATATATAGCTGTTGCTACTGCTACTGCTGATGTTGTAGTATTTAGTAGTATGATGTCTTGAAGGTCTTCTCTGATCTCTTAATCGACTTCGTATTCGTATTACTACGTCGTACTGTGTACTTATGCGGCTGCATGTTCCATGTAAATTGTTGACATGAGTGTGTGTATGCGTGTACAGTGCACACACACACACACACACACACACACATTTTGATAAAATTCAATTAAGATTAATTACAGATTCACAGATTTCTACAACACAATTGAAGACATCTATTGATGCAATTTTTACAAGACTTTTAGATAACATTACATCGATAGTATACGCATCATATTTCAGTTATCATAAACCTATATTTTCATTTTTTTAATTAGATGATCATAAAAATACCCATAAGTGTTTAACTATAGTTAGAACAAGTCAAAATGCGAATCAAGAAAGAACCAAAGTACTCTAAACAGTGGCAAACTTACTCTGTAGATATTTTTACAATATTAACAAAAAAATTTTATTATATATCAGTTGATGTTAAAATATATATTCATACCAATTGTGTCTATACTTTGTATATGCTGCTATACTCTGTCTGAATAAATACTATTTTTTTATCTGTATTCGTTTTGTTTATTTTTTAATTTTAGTAATTTTTCATGTTATTATTTATTTTCTTTTAGCAAGCAATGTGTACTTACATATTTGACATTAAATTGTTAGATATTTGTCTCAGAAATATATGTGTGTAGGAGTATGTGGGTGCTCGATGATGCTTTGACATGTACATGTATGTGTGTATCTACAGACATTATTGGTACAATTAATGTTGGATAATATTTCGCTGCCACATATATGAGGTAGCTTCGCTTCTGTCAGGGGACCCGAGACCCGTCACACTTGATTTTATTTTAATTTTTATTTTGTTCTCATCCTTTGTAATTTTACTTGTATTGTTTTTATTCATTAGTCAATTTTTTAGCTCTGAAGAATTAGTTATAAGTTTGTTTACTCCTTTTTAGTTTGATTTTTGGCCAGATAGGGATCTTCCCCAAGGCACAATAAATTTCTAAATACTCTAAACACACTCTCTCTCTCTTTCTATGTGCGTGTGTGTGTTTCGAACGTATACGGCATGGACGTGCTTTTGTTTACTTGCTCTGTGACTTCGATTTGTAGGCAGAAAGTCATACCTCCAGCTAGAGTTTTTTTTATAGATCCTATGCCACTGGAAGCCAGGTTTTATTTGGTACCACACTACCTCCTGGGATCTGGCGCATGAGTCTAAACAGCGGCAGCGCGGATCTGATCTTGAAACGTTTATTTATCGTGACGAATAAGAGGTCTGCTCTCAGAAAAAACGCTAGATGATGACAAGGTTTCTTTGGCGCAGGCTGTCTGGTGCAGGACCTTGGCCTCGTGAGTTCCGAGCAAAAATTAAAGCTGCCAGGTCCTGGTGTAAAGTGTATTTTGCTGTCAGCTAGTGCGAAAAAGCACCAGGCCGGTATGAGTACTTGTCTTTGATGCGCGTCTGTAGTGTTCAAAACTATAACATTTTATTGGGTTGGTTTATGCGACCGTTGGGTTATTGCTCTTGGTAATGAAATCGGCTTGGATCACCTGGGGAACATCATCTGGAAAACCTAAGCTTTTCAGATCCACAGCAATTTGATAGCTGACTAAATAGTAGATTAATCATCCTGACCATAAATGTTTTTTTTTTTCATTGTGAAAAGAGAGAAAGTGTAGCCTAACACAGAAAGACAGCTCCTATTGACAGTTATAAATATAGTCGCTAAACGATATTTTCCTCATATTATGTCTGTTATTAATTGTGTGTGTACTTGGAAGCTGTAATTATTGTGAAATTGAAATTTTATTTATGTATTAGAAATCGCTAAGGTCTACTGCTCTACCGTAACTGCTAGAATTCTGTTTTATTATTCTATTACTTTTTTGTTACCGTTTCATTGTCTTAATTTGCAACGGTTGCATAAGCAGTTTAAACTATTTGACAAATATTTGATGAATGTTATTGATGTTGACATCTATCACCTACGAACTACAAGCTAGTACTGGAAGTCTTACATGCGTTTAGAGAACCCTATTGAATTGATTTTCACTATTTAAGATTAATAGTCTAGCCACTGTTAATATCGTAAATCAATAGTGTATTTTATATCTTCGTTTAAAAGTAGTGTTTTGTATCATATTGAACGATACTTTGGTGGGATTGGCGTAATCATTGGTTAACGGTATGCTGTTGTGCAAAAAGTGCTATAGATCTGTAGTAAATACGTCTTGGACTTGTCTGGATTGTAATAGTATTTTTTACCTGGGGCGTATAGCAGCTTACGCAAACGTGAGAAATAATTCAAAGGGCTCAAACTGCTGTATGCGAGCTTTTCATCAGGGTTTGGTCCAACTCAACAAAGAAGGTGATTTACTTCATACCTGCTCATCGAAAATTAGAATGCACCGCATTTACACTGGCCATAGGCTAGATATTGGTGAGCAGCCGGATAGAAATGACTTCAATGGTGATCTGGCATTCAGCATGACTCAGTCGGACCCAGCAGTTGTACGACTCCGGCTTCAACAACTTCAACCTTCCAACCAGGGCCCAATTAGTGCTGCCCGAGTATATGTTGGGCTGACAGATGAGCGCATGGCCCCGGAGCTTGGCTAAATGGTAGCAAGAAAATCATAGAAATGCCTAAGCGATGAGCCACGGGAACTCTGATCTGCCAACAGGTTGGGATGGCTACGATGACAACCAGCACTTTGCGGCTCTGTTTTAGATAATGATGAAAAACAATCGAACCCTGCACAGTTTGGCAGCCAGCAGCAATAGCAAAATAGGGAGTTTGGTGCACTAAGGGCTGATATTGAGGAGCTGAAAGTATCTTGGAGGGTAATACCTAAATCAGAGCTGAGGATTACAGGCATGCTGACTGCAAGTTCAGGGCAAAATGCTGACATCTTTATTGAGATGCTTACAGTCCTGAATCTATCGTGCTTAAAGAATGATATTTTAGATTACCGTGACAGCATTACTAAAAATTGGAAAAAGAAGAACAGCAGCGCAGATTCATCTGAATCTGTGGGTTACAGTAGAGATGAAGCGTCTGTCAGTGCGTCTACTAGCGAACCGCCTCCTCGTGGATCCTTCATTGTCCAATTTAAGTTTTCCCAGATACGTAACCATGTGCTGCATACAGCGTGCGAGTTTTGCAAGATTATGTTTAAGTCTTTTTTTCCTGAAGCATCATAAGATGCACGTATTTGCTTGTTTGATGTCATGCCTGATCATTTATTCAAATCGCTTAAGTTAGCAAAAGATAAGGCCCGAATATGTAGCTATTCGTACGTATGGCTCTGTAATGGTGAGATCTTAGCTTGAAAGTCCGATGGAGCCCCTAGAATTAGTATTGCACCAGAAACTGATCTTTCAAGAATTATATGACTGCCACAATCAAGAGATCTAAGTGGGTCGAGGGTTGGCAGCAAGCAATTTGTTCGGGTTATGCAAATGAACGTAAACGTTCTTCCAGAACGTTGCCAGATGATCGGAGATTTTGTGGTAGAACATAGTATTGATGTGCTATGTGTATCTGAAACGTGGCTCACGCAGGACCATGACATGAGTCTCTATGATCTGTCAAAATTGAACCCTTCAGAAACGACAGGGCCCTTAGCTTAAAGACTGGAAAGGTGACATGCAGGGTGATGGGGTTGCTTGCTATATTCACAAAAGCTATAGAGACAATGTCCTGTGCAGACCTCAAATTAGGAAACTGAATGAAACAAAGTTCTTGCTTCTCAAGGTTGTAAAATTGTCCACCCAAAAAGGGGTTACTCCTTGCATGTATCTACGAGACCAAAGGAAGATGTTCTAACTTGCGTCTTCGATGAGTTATATTGATATGCGACCAGATATAAGAATGTGACAGTGGTGGGTGACTTAAATTGTAACTTATTGGCTGAAGAAAATTATAAAAATCATTTGCGTAGGTTAATTGAAGAGTGCTCAATGTACTTGGTGCTTTTTAATGCAACGCACCACCAAGATAACAGTTATACATGGCTGGACGTCATCTTGATAGATGCGGCTGATAAAGTTGAGCATATAGGTCAATCGTCGGTTCCGTTTATCTGTGGGTATAACTACTTATTCATTAATTATTATTTCGGGGCATCGGTTAGGCGTGAAAAAGTCGTTCGAGTTCGTGACTTTAGAAATTTCAACAGAGGTCTTTTGCCACCTCCCTGACCCGCGATCTAAGACAGATGTTCGATTGGCCCCAGTTCCTAAATGTAAATGAATACGTCAAGGTACTAAATGACATTGCAAATACGCTACAAGATGAGCCTGCACCCTTCTCAGGTAGTAGAATTTGCAGAGCTGCGGCACCATAGATTGATCAAGACATCCGAGAGCAGTATCAGTATCGAAATCATCTCCACAAGCGAGCGAAGCAAATGCAAGATCTCAACTTCTTTGCCAAATATAGAACGCTGCATAGACTCATCAAAAGAAGAATAAAGATAGCTAGAGACCGCTATTTGCTGGTCTCCTGAAAAGTGAGGCAAACCAGGCGAAATATTGGCGTATATTTGACCGTTTTGGTATCACCGCGAGCAGGTCACAGTCGCCGCTATACACCATTGCTCTGGAGGCGCTTCTCACCTACTATGAGTCGATAGCATGTACCCATTCACTATACAGTGACTCGGAACTGAACGCAAGATTGGCGAATGCATCCACTTCAGAGGGTTCTTTTCGTTTTCGCTCGATAGACGACGTAGTACAAGTTAGATTGGCGATGGTACACTGTGCGGAGTCGTCACGGGGAGGTAGTAACGAAGGCCTATTGCTACGCCATTTTGGCAAAGACCTGCCACTATTGGCTCAGTACCTGGTCCGTGTCATAAATAAATCGCTGGAGTCAGGAGTCTGTCCTGACTCGTGGAAGCTGTCCACTGTTGTGCCACTCTCTAAGGTTCCCAAGTTCATGGAGTTGAGAGAGACAAGTCCAGTTGTGAACCTATCTCATCGGGCTAAGATGTTTGACCACATTATGATGCTACAAATCTACGAATATCTCGAAGATGCTTCTCTGATTGCTCCAATGCAATCTGCGTTTCAGCGTGGTTTCAGTGCCCAGTTAGCATTGCTTAGAGTTACCGATGATGTAAGGCTGGGAATGGACCATGGCTTGGTTATGATATCGGTCTATTTTGATTTTTGACATGCCTTTGACACTATCGACCACGTGGTGTTACTGCACGTACTGATTGGCCAACGTTGTTCTCCATAAACCATAAAATGGGTATACTCCTACGTACATATCTAGTAGATTGCAGTGTATAGTAAAGTTAGATGGAAAATTAACAACGTTAGTGCCATGTACGTTTGGGGTGCCCAAAGGTTCATTTCCTGGTCCGATACTGTTCCTGATTTTCTTTAATTTGATCATAGTAGTTCTTTGCCATTACAAGGCCATGCTCTTTGCGGATGACTCACAGATTTACCTGCAGTGCACGCTGACAGATTTATGTCGGAAAATGCCACTAATAAACGAAGATATAGGGCAGTTGTTACGTGGACGTAAAAATGGAGGCTCCAGCTCAATGATGAAAAGCCCCGTCCCCTATTGTTTGCGACGGTGCAGAGTGGCATGCGTATTGATAGTGCTGCGTTGCTGAGTGTGACGGTAAAAGGCCATTCTGTTCCGTTTTTGGATAGTGAAAGTTCACTGGGGGTGACCCTCTCTCCAGATCTTTCGTGAAATTCCCATGTCTCTGGCATATGACAAAAGGTTCACGGCTTACCAACTGCGACATAGAAGTGGCCTATTGTCTATAAATGTTCAAAGAATACAAGCAAGCGCTCTAATCTTGCCTCACTTTGACTATTGTTGTCTAGAACATGCTGATTTTTTGGGTTATCACGAGTTGAAGCTACAAAGATTAATCAATACATTTGTCAGATTTATTTTACGGCTAAGACGTGACACAGAACTGAAGTCCTATTATGATTGGTTGGGTTAGCTCAATCTATCCAAGTGTACAAAATACTTTTTGAATCTGGCGATGTACCACGTTATGCAGACTGGTATCCCGGAGTATCTGCTTGCAGAGATTAGTAGGGAGATTTCTTACTGCCATGCTACGGAGTGTGCCCACTTTTTTCCAGTGGTCCGACCGCCCTGCCACGGCCAAGCGGCTGAACCAGGCGCACATTTTTTATTTTATTTAAAAAGCATGGTAAGGGTATGTGCGTACGAGGAGAGGAGTGGATTCGCGTGGAAATGTGCATATAGGCGCACATTTTGGAGATGCGTGGAAGGGGCCGAAGGGGTATACCGAATGTGCGCCTACGAGGACAGGAGAAATGAGTGTGGATAAAATGTCGACTATAGCTACAGCTGAGCTTACAGCAAAGCAAAAGCAAGCGACGATCCAAGAATCTTTTCCGCTTAACCTTTACTGTATTTAGTTAACGTGTTCAACCTTAAACATAATGAAATGCATGCTGGATTAAGTATTCTCCAGATTTTGTGTACTTGTAAGTACTCGTTATACGAATTATCAGCAGCTGTAGGTTAAGCTCCGAAGGTCTCCGATGAACATATGTTACTTTCATGTCCAGCGGGGGTATGTTCGTAGTAGCCGAGCAGGCTAATGCTTATCTCATGACTCTTGATTTTGGAAGTTGTAGGTTCGAACCAGCATTTTAATTTTTTTTTTTTTTTCTTTAATAAAAGTTATTTGATTTTGAAACAAATATTATTTGATTTGATAATCAATTTAATTGTTTTTGTTACTGTCAAATAAAATATTATTGTTATTACTCCTATTGTAAGAATTTTTCAGTTACTTTTATTTTTGTTATTATTTCTGTTGTTATTATTACTATTGTTACTATTATAAATATTATAACGTTATTAATATTGTTATTCTTATTATAATTATTGTTATTAATATTAGTATTCAAAACTGATTGAGCAGCTGAAAAAAAAAATACAATATAATGACACTGCCAATGAGTTGATTACAATTTGTAATAAACGATGTTATATTTAGTAATCAAATAATTACCATAAGCTAATACAATAATTGCGCCACGGCGCTCGCTCAGCTTCTGCGACAGGTTAGGTCGTCTGCTGCATGCCTGCGACAGCTATAGCCTATCGTTTGCTTAAAGCGAATGAAGACATGTTATTAGACTAATTAATTCCCGCGTTGAGACCACTTGTTTCAGTGAAACCCTTTGCTGATACGACTGCTCTTTGAGTGAATTACCAGCTTTTTATCGAGAAAAGTATTGGATTTTTCTAAATTTTCATTGCTTTTAGATAATGTGATTATTCTAGTGTGGCCAGTTTACATGTTCTGTGACTTTTTTTGTGTAGTTTAATGTTTCTATATGCACATATGATGTAAGTGTTAATTAGTGGTACAGTTGAAATAGTACACAGTAAACTACCAAGGGAAACAACGAAGTCAGGCCATTTGTGGTAAGAGGATCTTTATTGACAATCATCCCAACTTGGCAGGTCTTAAAATAAACGGACATGGTTACGTTAGAATGAAAACAATCTCATCTTCTAACAGTAAAGTATGTTACATCTACATCACTTGCTCCTTTAAAATATCTTTTTAATTATACATATTAGTGTATATTTTCATCCTAGAGGGAACATTCTACAGTTCATTACATGTATTTTACTATTTATTACAAGCATCTAGCAATATTTTTGGACTCTGCATATACATGCGTTATGTGTCCTGCACACTTATAGTACAAGTTCACACACACACACACACACACACACACACACACACACACACATACACTCATGCATATATAAGCTTGGAAGGGACCGGGCGGCCGGCTGATAACTTCTTTCTTTCCTTTTTAACATTTCGTTAACTTGGTAATAAAAGAAATGAAATTGATTTGTGTCATAGATTAAATTTCGTTCTTAGTAAAAAAAAATTTCATTAATGACTTCACTGAGAAAAGTAGAGTTAAAGAAAGTATTATAACTATCCTAAAAATTAATATATTTTTAGGAAAGCTGGGACATACTCACCTGATGACGCAAATTCATAAGTTTTTATTATATTTTTAATAATTTTTATTATACAGTAGCCCTACAAAAATTTTTACACCACATAATAAAAATTACCATGTCCAACATAGTAACAGTTGTGATAGTATAATTTTTGCTATACAAGATAGTAAATTTCATTGTAATCGTTTTAAAATGTCCCACATTCTAAAGTAAAATTTGCTATGTAACATAGTAACATTTTTTATTCCACTGATTTGCTATTCAGTATAGTAAAAATTACTATGTTCGAAAGTAATTTTGGACGATGTCTACAGGTACACACGCTTATTAAGTTTCAAATTTTAAGTTATACTAATGTAATCATGGCGAAAAACATATTTTTTATTTATCAGGGTTAAAAATTGATACGTGCCGACAATTAATTTTGAATCGACTAATTCTCCGTTCTTAACACGGTGGTCCACAGAAAACCCTTTGATTTTTAACTTGATTGTGTGTATGATAAATTGTGCACGTTCTCACACATCCTTTATCCATACTTGTGCGGACATTATGTCCCGTGGTTTAGTAGTCACGGAGCTTGATTAGGAAGCCGAAGGATGGAGGCTCAAACTCCAGTCGCTGCAGATCTTTTTTAAAATAATATTTTGAATACATAAGTATATATATCGACGTGTGCGACGAAGACCATCCAAGCGTGAAGTCAGACCATGTTATATCAAATGGGGTGACGTCACGCTGGGATAGTATCTGTCACACAAGACGATATGTATAAGTATATACACACTATATCAAAAAACATCTGTGTACATTCAAATCTATATGTATTAATCATCTGATTAACATATATATTCTCTGGCCATCATAAAATATAATATATTTTTCTCCTCTTACTTTATTATAAAAATCCTTTCTGAGTAAAGTACAAATTACTGTGTCGAATAGCAAATTTTAGCATAATCTTGGCTTGCTATGTAACATAGTAATTTTTATTATATGGCGAGTATGTATCAGCTGTCCTATAAAATATGGTAATTTTTATTACAGTTGTAACACTTTTTCTAACACCACTTTTCTTAGTGTAATCTTATTTATTTATTTAATTACATTTACGGGAAACGATTCTTTTTATATGAACTTAAAAAATAATTAAAAGTGTAAAAAAATATAAAAACAAGCTAATAAACTTAATTATTAGATACATATTTGTATAGATCTCGCTTTAAAGGATCTAATGGTTCCAAATTATGAGGAATATTAGTTGCATCAGATAATGAATAAAATTATTTAAAATTGTTTAATGTATTAAAGCTTAAGAAATAAGCAACTTTCTGTAAAAAATTCGATACCATCTGTAAACAATTTTTTCTACAATTGAAGAAAAGAAAAAAAAAAAATTATAGTTTTATATTGTGTGAGGAAAAGTATATCATTCAAGTGGACTATCAGTAGTATTGAAACATCGTTTATTAAATTGTCTTACAATTTTTTTTTATTATTATGGTAGCTTGGGCAGTTACTACCGTATCGAGGGTAGGGTGCCATAAAGGCCCTAAACATTTTTCAATAAATAGAGTTATTTCAATCAAACCAAAGTGAAAGATAAAGAAATTGCCATAAAAGTACCGTGAAATTAAAATTGTGAAAATGTTGTGAGGCAAGCCAGATTAATATTTCATACTTTTTTTCCGATTTTCTCTTAAGTTAAGTCGTTGGCTCTACATTTTTAAGACTAATAGATTCTTTGTAAAAAAAAATACATAAGGACTATGATAAATTTTTGAGGTTAATCTAAGTTTTCCGAAGATATATTCAATTTTGTTACCACTGTCTATAAGAGTAAGTGTTGAATTGGTGAATTTTCAATAGCAATTTGCGAAAAAATTAAGTCGTTGACCTTCGTATTTTCTTCTCGCAAATGAATTTGGCATACTTTATTTGCACAATTCCAGAATGTCAGAGGTTTTGATCAAGACAATAAAAATCGCCCAAGCCACCTTAATAATATATGAAGCTTGTGCATGTAGTTACCTAGTTTCAAGCACCTTTGTTCATATCTATTCCTTTTTTTATACGTCACAAGGCAAGTAATGGCCCTGAATAACAGTGAAAGGTGCTTAAGTTACTTATTATTGCTCTATTTATAAACAAATTAGTAAATAACAACA